ATTGTCCTCTAAAACCGTCGGAATCACCGGTGAGAAGACGTCATTTGCCGGTACAAGACTTCTCATGTGATAAATGAGTTGATGAATTAATCATTTCTTTATGTACAAACTGATGAAAATAATCTTAACTCTTTGAAACGACAGGGGGCGACGAGGAGTAATTGTCCTCTAAAACCGCCGGTACAAGACTTCTCGTGTGATGAATTAATCATTTCTTTATGTACAAACTGATGAAAATAATCTTAAGCTTTTGGGTTTATTTTGCATCAAACACAAGACAACTTTAAGCAAATAGTATCTAAATTATACAAAAAAATAAAACGCACTTCATTTAAAAAGCATTGGACAAACTAGGCAACAAAAAAACCCACTATACATTGTTTTCCCTCAAAGTGTCAAAAAGCACCAGATGGAATTTTCTGTTTCACACAAATGCCGGCACAGACGTGCATGTTCGGCTAGAATCACCCTGAAGTCGTCATCGAGCGTATTTTGCAGTATTAAACACGTATTTATACCGATTTCATCAGGCTCCGAAAATTCTTCAAAAAGAACACAAAGAATGGCCTTCTCAGCTGCCATAGTTGCAACTCTTGCGTCATCAGAACAGGGTGTTCAACGCACCACCGTTTCCATTTAAAAAACGTTTTGCACCGTTTTGTCGGGGCTGAACGCAACCCAGTCTTTGCACTTGCAAATTCCGCCATGTAAAGCGGGATTTATACTTTCGCCTAGCTCTGCTTCGTGAGCCTCTGCTGACTGCACGCGCACCTTCCCAAATGGACGAGGCTTTTATATTTGTCGCGTTCGCCGTTGTACTATTCTTTGAAACGACAGGGGGCGACGAGGAGTAATTGTCCTCTAAAACCGTCGGAATCACCGGTGAGAAGACGTCATTTGCCGGTACAAGACTTCTCATGTGATAAATGAGTTGATGAATTAATCATTTCTTTATGTACAAACTGATGAAAATAATCTTAACCTTTTGGGTTTATTTTGCATCAAACACAAGACAACTTTAAGCAAATAGTATCTAAATTATACAAAAAAATAAAACGCACTTCATTTAAAAAGCCTTGGACAAACTAGGCAACAAAAAAAAAACACTATACATTGTTTTCCCTCAAAGTGTCAAAAAGCACCAGATGGAATTTTCTGTTTCACACAAATGCCGGCACAGACGTGCATGTTCGGCTAGAATCACCCTGAAGTCGTGCATCTTCGGAAGCGGAGCTGAGCGGAAAGTTAGGCTGGCCGCACACTAGACGATTTTCAAATCTTAAACTATTTTAAAACCATGGGAGACCACAGACATGAAGACAGTTCAACCGATTTTTAGCCACACACTTGATGATTGTAGGAACGATTTCACAGTGACACGTGTTCTCACATACACTCGCGAGATCAAATGTGACTAGAGAAGAAAAACAAATAGACGACAATCAATGTTGTCAGCTGGCTCTCCTGGCACGTGTTCTGTTTCACAGTGAAAAACAAAGTATAGAAAAGAATATGGGTGATGTATTCTGCTTTCATGGCATGTTTGTGGCTGCCAAGTTTCAGCTATAGAAGCACTCAACATCCGGTAGGTATCCCCAATCGTTCGGGGATGCAAATCGGGCTTAAAATCGGCCTTAAAATCGTCTAGTGTGCGGCCAGCCTTACAAAAAATGCCGTGCACACCTCCACACGAAATGAGGTCGCGCGCACTCAAAGCGAACTTCCACCAACACCGCGATGACGTTATATTTGCCACGCGCACCCAACCAAACTATTCTGCTTTCATGGCATGTTTGTGGCTGCCAAGTTTCAGCTATAGAAGCACTCAACATCCGGTAGGTATCCCCAATCGTTCGGGGATGCAAATCGGGCTTAAAATCGGCCTTAAAATCGTCTAGTGGGCGGCCAGCCTTACAAAAAATGCCGTGCACACCTCCACACGAAATGAGGTCGCGCGCACTCAAAGCGAACTTCCACCAACACCGCGATGACGTTATATTTGCCACGCGCACCCAACCAAACTTTTTTTTTTTGTTATTGAACTTTTAAAGTTACAAAGTTCAACAGCAAGTTCTTCACATATTTACACATTTTGTAAGTACAAATTGAGACAATTTTAATAAAATAAAAAACAATAAAATAATAAGAAATTTTTTTATAAAATTAAAAATATATATATTTTTAAAGACTATAGATTCTAAGTAAGCTCAAATGAATATGAGTTTTCTAAAAGGAAAACATTTATTATTGATCTGTTTTTGTTATTAGGGAAATTTTATATTAATCAAACTAAATGGAGTAACTTAAAACCCAATTTCGCTCATTTTCAAGCACCCAAGTGAACTTGCTGACGCGTCGAGTTTAAATCAGCCTTAAGTGTGTCATATGCAGCGCACAGGTCGATAATGTTATTGTTTAATATAAATATAAGTGCAGACAACTGTTCTACAGTCAAGGCTAAAATGGACAAAGAGTTGGATGTTAATGCTTCAAATACACAGTCAAATCCAACCCTAGATAACACTCATCAGATAAGGACTCTCCTCTAATGTAAACAGACCGCTGTTATCCCATTTAAAAACCCTTCTGTAAAATATATGAGTCTACAAATGTTAAGATTATTATAATAACAACACACATGGCCAAAACATTAAACTGATAATTCAACAACCCCAATGATTTCCACAATGTGGAAAATATGGATGGAGTTGTGGATTGTCACAAGAATTTTAGATTTATAAATTAAAATTATGCAATATTTTGTTGTGAAGAAATTGGTAGGTTTTCATTTGATGAATTAATGGTGTTAAAAACAGTTTGTTTGTTTTTTTTTACAATAAATCTACATAAAATCATAAAACACAATAAAAAATTAAAGAGTTTAGGTGGAGGGAGGAAATAAAATTGATTTTAAATAACCTTATTATTTTAAATATTAATATTATGTTTAAAAATGTTTTAAAATTACATTGATTAAAGTTTTAGCAATTCAATTGATATTATATTACTATAGCATGCTTTTTGATGATTGAAATTAATTAAACCATTAATACCTCATCCAGAAAAAAATAAAACAGAAAATGCAGAATCCCAGAATTGATCTAAATGATGCTTTTGGTCCAGTATAGACTACTAAATAAATGCTGGGTGTTGAGTACATACCAGAGGGACTGCGGTATGATAAACACTGGCATTTAGCAACATGTGGTGCGTCAAACCTTTGCAGCCACTAGTTGACCGATGACAGTGAAGAGTTTTTCTTGGACAGTGACTATAACTATTACGATAAACCCTTTTTCCAAACAGCGCAATCTACCTTGACCACAGAAAAAACATTACAACGTAACAGCTCGGCAACTCATCTAGAAGTTTCCCATTTTTAAATATGCTTTTTCCTCAGTCACTCATGTGCTTGGAACTTACGATATTTATAACTCCACATGAAAAGAACATAAAACACAGCAGTTTTAAAATTCATGATTATAACGATAGACTGTACGTAATTTATGTTGCAGGATAAAACGTAAATGTTAACCATAGGCCTTATTTTACTAAAACTGCTATAAAAATCCACAGGAAATTCCCAAGGGAACCCACAGCTTGAAAATTCTCTTCCAGGTTGAAGAAAAGCAAACTTATCATTTCTATAAGGCTGAAACCACAGCCATAATGAATCCATTAGTCGTATCCAATAAACGAAACATTTTTGAACAATTAAAGTGGGGTGGATTCAAACTGAAATAACCTCACATATCAGGTACAGGACAGATCAGTTGCCATGTGGCTGGGCAGAAAAAGATATAGAAAATTAGACTCATGGTATGAAGGAATGATGCTATTATCCTTTTTTGCATATGATTAATCGGTTTGTTTTAAAAACCATATATTCTTGGTTGTCTCTCACCTTCTTGCAATACATTCCAAACAACTATCAAAGCAAATTTACACCCTTACACAAAACCTTTACCTTGAAATGTCAACAGATGCACTGAGAAGATCTACAGCCTGGTACCTTGGATCACAAATGCAGTTTTGACGACCTAGTGAGGGGTTTGCAAATACTACACAATCCCCCCCAAAAAGCATGGAAAATCCCTATAACTCAAAGCTACTTACTGCCTTTCCATGGAGTGTTCATCCAGGGTTTATGTCAAAACTTAACAAGCTACTGTAGAACTAAGCAACCCAAACCCAGTAGTTCCCAACCCTGGTCCTGGGGGCACCCCAACACTGCACATTTTGCATGTCTCCTTTCTCTGACGCACCAATTTCAGGTCTTGGAGTCTCTTCTAATGAGCTGATGACCTGAATCAGGTGTGTTTGATTAAGGAGACATGCAAAACATGCAGTGTTGGGGTGCCTCCAGGACTAGGGTTGGGAACCACTGCTCTAGACCCCTACAGAACACCAGCACCTGAACTGGAGAACATCCACCCTTCAAACAGCAGAATAGGGGATTTCATATGAATATTAGCATCGTCTGACTGGACGGGCCAAGGGTCCCGTGATCCCAAGACCCCAAAACAGAGTGTGCTGCCTATAGACAGCTTTTTTGAGCATTAGAGACTCGTGAGATAGACATGATGCCCAAAAACGCTGTCTAGGTGGGCAGCACACTAGGTTGTGAGAGCCAGCCCATCTGAATGTGACAGTAACCTATGGACATATTATAATAATAAACAGCCATCTTAGACATCAATCGGGTAAACAAATCTATATGAGAGCTGCATATCCAGGAAGAAAGTGGAGTTTCCCCCCGATATAGCTAAATGTAGATCATAAAGTATTGCCAAATAAAATAAAACCGAGATTTTATGACACATATATTGACCTGCTGACATAGACATTCGGCTTTAAAACGATGAACTCTGCACAAATCCTACTGCATTACTGAAAGTCAATATAGTGTCGTATACAGCGGTTACTGTGGATAAAAAAAACCTTTTAGTTTAAGCCCGACACATTCATCATAGCCATCTGTAATTGCACGGGCGTTTTACCTTCTGTCTTCATGTAGTTTAGCAGGCAGATATAAGAATCAGCTGGTCCGTCGGACGCGTTGTGAAGACGCCATTAGTCTGAGTATTTCCTAGTGCTGTGCTGTACAGCCAGCGGGGTCTGTATGTCTATAACGTGTATGTGTCTCTGAAGCGAAGGCGCAGCACTAGCGCTCTCTGTTGGGTGCAACACAAATTATTATGGTGCTCTTGAAAACAGACTTTGGGACGGCTCCAAATGATATAACAGTGGGAGCTGTTGAGGTAATATTACCTTACGTGATGGTGTCAACCTGAAGTAACTTCTGTTTAAAATATTGTTAATTTTATACAGATTTAGCTTTATCTGAATGGATGGAATATTTTAAAGTGAAACACAAAATCATATTGCCACTATTCGTCAAGGACATGTTTTTTGCTAGATACCTTTTGTTAGTTGGATATTACAAAAGACTATCAGAATTAAATGTGAAATATATAGGCTACCTTAAAAGGATAGTACACACAAAAATGAAAATTTTGTCATCCTTTAGCCTACTCACCCTCATGTCATCCCAAACCTGTACAGGTTTCTTTCTTATGTTGAACATAAAGGAAGATATTTTAATGAATGCTGGTAATCAAACAGTTAATGGCCTCCATTGACCCCATAGTATTTCTTTCACTACTCTGGAAGTCAATGGGGACCAACAACTGTTTGGTTCTTTAAAATTCTTCAAAATATCTTCTTTTATGTTCAACATAAGAAAGAAACGTAAACAAGTTTGGAACGACACGAGGGTGAGTAAATGATGTGCAAAATGTTCATTTTTGGGTGAACTATTCCTTTAACAACTGTTTTCAAGAAAACATATTTTAGAATATTTCTTACTGCCAGTTTTGGCAAGTAGAAACATTATTTTAAAATCACCACTAATTTGACTTTGCGATAAAATTAATCTTACTACTATGATTTCAATCTTTTAAACAAAACAAAAAAATCAATTATTAGTGTATTTTTTTTTATACTAGGATGTAGCCTATATGGTAGGGACATAAAAATGTACTCCATACCTAGGATTAAATATTAATGAGCAATGAAAACTTGAAGACTTTAAAGAAATGTAAGTTAATAAAATCAATAACATCTTTTTAAAAGATAGCATTGTGTATGCCTATTTCATCTTAAAATATGACACTTTGGGCAGTTGGAACAGTTATGAAATCAGATGTACAGTAATAAGATTTTGTCAAAAATATTTATTTTGAAAAATAAAGCAATACAATATAATATGAAGTTACATTTCACTTTAAAATGAAAAGATACTTGAGAAATCTTTTTTTTCCCCCCCTATAGATTTAATTTTCAGAGTGCCACAATGACTTTCACTATATTGCAAGTGCCTCAAAGCTTTTCATTTATAATGGGGTTACCGGAGAAATTAGTCTTTTGTTAGTTCTCCAATATTGCGATCTGAGGAGCATCAAAATAAATAGTCAATTCTACACTATGACAATTAAAGCGTAAGGTGTGCTGAAGTCTTAATGCTAATTAAAAGTGCTTTCATGCTTTCAAAGTGCAGTTCATCAAACTCTGCCAGCTGATAATTTATCAATAATTTTCTTCAAAGATCACATAAAAACAATTACTACTAAGAATGTCAAGATAAAGACAACCATAGCACAGTCAAACTGAACAAAATACTTCTGGTTATGCAAGCATAACATTATACAAATCATATAAAAATCATACATACAAAATCTTATCTATCTATATACAAATATATATATATATATAAAGTACATATATATAGTATAAGTATTTCAGTGCAGTAGAATCTCTTAAAAATAGTGAAAACACAGACATTTACGCACCAATGCATCCAACCAGCTTTTGGAGCCGTATTGTAACTTCTGTAACTATATTGTACAATTGTTTATTACCATATAAATTAAATCAGGTCTCAATGTAAACACAGGCTAAAAACAGCAATAGTAAAGCAGTTCACCACTCCAGTTTCATGTTTGCTTTGCTCCACATATATTTCCCCCCTCTTATGAGGAACATCTTCTCATCAAAACCACTAAACTTGATGGCCTCTTCCACACCAACATCCAGAATGGACTTTGACGGATCCTTCCTCCCCTCTCGACAATCCAAGAAGCGCATCTGCGGCATCAGATATGAAGGATTAAAAAAATCTATTTATGATGATTGCTCTTTCTGATGATGTAGCGTAGACAGCATGATTATTAATAGAGATCAGAGATTATCAAGGGAGGGGAAAGTAATTTGAAGCCTGGAATGAGGCAAATTACTGCAGGCCTTATTATATTCCTATCCATAATCCCTTCACTTCTGATATGATGACATAATGTAATTGAAAAGAATCATTTACACTGTAATAATAGTGTAATCTAATACAGAAAACAATTCTTTAGAATCTATTTATGATGATTGCTCTTTCTGATGATGTAGCGTAGACAGCATGATTATTAATAGAGATCAGAGATTATCAAGGGAGGGGAAAGTAATTTGAAGCCTGGAATGAGGCAAAATACTGCAGGCCTTATTATATTCCTATCCATAATCCCTTCACTTCTGATATGATGACATAATGTAATTGAAAAGAATCATTTACACTGTAATAATAGTGTAATCTAATACAGAAAACAATTCTTTAAACACTAATGACAACATAATCGAATACAAAAATAAATCCTTCACATGGTAATGAGAAGACAACTTAATGGATGCTGAGAAGAAAATATGAAACCACTTACATATTCATCAAGAATCAGGTAAGAGTCTCTCATCTGTAAAAGAAAAATAGATGAGTAAGTAAACAATTCATATCAAGTTAACAGTAGGCTTTATATTCAAGTCCCTGGCACCTATGCTATTTTTATTTAAATTCAAATCTCGCCGTGCACACTTATAAGTCGTATAAGCTTTGGTAATGAATTGAAACTGAAAGTTTACTGCTGTATTACCCATAAATTGAAGCCACTTTATCTTCCGAATTTAAAACGCTAATCTGAATTGAGCGAAAGTATGCACTCTGTGCCTCAAAATTACCTTTTGATTAGACTCTGGAACCAGACACTTAACGCTCTGGTGGCGGTCCAGGAAGTCTTGGAATTGCTGATCGCTAATGATGAATTTCTCTGCCTCGCGGAGACTGCTCTCCCCAGCGTTTTCACCTTCAGACACTGGAAGACCTGTGTGTACATTGCAATACAGCCTTAATAACGTGGTCAGCAGTCTGGTTAAAATGATAGAGTCTGCAGTAATGAAGTAACTGTACCTTCCAGCGCACTGGGTTCAGAGCAGTGAACTGCTCGGTCATATCTTCATCCACATTGTAGGTGTTAATAACCGAGTTGATTTTGAAAGCCACCTTATAGTCCCGGCACCAGTCACGAACTTGATGCAGTTTGTCTAGATGACTCTTTCTGCCCTGACCTCGACCTATGACTTTATTGGTGTCCTCGTTAAAACTGTCACAAGATACTGCCAGGATGTCCAAGTAGTCACCTATTAAATACAGATGCAAATTAAATTTGTACATTTGTATGCAAATACCTTTGATATAACAATGTATTTTTCTGTAATGTAATTAGTAATGTATATATTCTGTTTATATAGTTTACGAGTTTTTTTTTCTAAATAAGTTTTTAATGCTCACCAAGGTTGCATTTCTATATTTGATCAAAAGAAAAAGAAAAAACATAGTAATAACATGAAAGATTTGATAAGAACATGTTTTCTATTCTAATATATTTTCAAATGTAATTTATTTGTGATGGCAAAGCTGTATTTTCAGCTGTCATTACTCCAGTCACACGATAAGTTATATGTAATATGCTGATTTGGTGCTCAAGAAACATTCCTTATTATTAATGTTGAAAATAGCTGATATGTGCTGCTTAATCTTTTTTGGGGGACATATTCAAGATTCTTCATGTATTTTTTGTAACATTTTAAATGTCTTTTACTTTCAAGCAATTGAATGCATCCTAACTAGAAATTAAAGTATTCATTTTATATATAAAAATATATTGTTATTATTATTATTATTATAAAAAATATATAATATAAAATATTCTAAAAATCGAACCGACTCCAAACTTTTAAACGGTTAGTATACAGTGCACATTTTAATTAAATTTTTAGCGTACCCATATTTCACAACTATTCTTTTACTTATTGTGTACTCTGTTAGTTAAATCCCCTTAAGCAAAATACTGAAAATCATTTTTTGTTCTATTGTATGTGATTTTGTTGCTAGTGTTTTGGAACACAAAAAAGCTCACGTTACTGTACATTTGACAGTGCAATAAAGCATCTCACATTAACAAAATTTAACTTTCTTAATATTCTTAATTATAAGTGGGCTTTTCGTGGAGCTGTAGCTAGGCCTATATAATAAACGTTGTTATAGCCTAGGTCAGGGGTGCCCAAACTCTGTCCTGGAGGGCCGGTGTCCTGCAGAGTTTTGCTCCAACCCTAATCAAACACACCTAAAGCAGCTAATAAAGCTCTTACTAGGCATACTAGAAACTTCCAGGCAGGTGTGTTGAGGCAAGTTGGAGCTAAACTCTGCAGGACACCGGCCCTCCAGGACTGAGTTTGGGCACCCCTGGCCTAGGTATTTCCTAGTATTATTAACTCTACTAACGTGAAATATGTGTAAGGTTAAAGCCAAAGAGTTTAAAAGCAATCTTTTCTGCCCTCTGCTGGTCATGATTGACTCTCACCGTATTTCTGGAACCAGGTTTCTCTGATTAGACTGCCATTGCAGCTCCTGTTTGCAATCGCACCAGCTCTCCCAGAAAATGACCTCTCTTGTGAAGGAAGGGCTCTCCACCAGAAGAGTTGACTTTTTCCATTCCTAAAACATACAATCGATAATATTAAAACAGTGTGAAAATAAAAACGACAGTCAGCTTTAAGAGAAAAAGGTTAACTTTTTTAATGTAGCCTAATCTTTTTGGTAACATTACATTATCGTTTACTGTCGTACTGTCGTTTATTATTAGAAACTAACCCGTTTAATCCCCATTTTTTCCCCCAGACATGAACATATCCAAATGATGTGTCATTCGTAACGCTTTGAAATAATCAATAATTAAAAAAAATTTTTTTTTAAGTGTGTGGAAAATTGTGTTTTATGGTCGGTCACAATTGTGACAGGTGGGATAAGGTGAGTACTGAATGAACATATTTCTGCAGTCATAATTTTTTTATATATCTTAGCCCAGCTATTTTAAACTGTTTGATCACATTCTAGGGTTATTATTATTATGCATAAAAAAACTTTATGCAACACTGATAGGAACACTGAGATAAAAAACAAAAAAAGTCAACCATCAACTCATTTCAAAATTTTTACTTTTTTGTAAAATATAACATCACATTTTTATATTAGTGCTACCAGTATTACAACATCAATACTGTACATTTTTTGTAACATTTGAATTTTTTATTTAGTGCAATATTTTGTCATTGCAACATTTTAGTGTAATTTTCACTAGCAACTGCAATTGGATTTATATTGTAAACCTAAGTTCACTGTTATCCCACTATTGTGACCATCAGCATGTTTACTCATTCTATGACCACACTCAACAAAACTGAATATATGTGAATTCATATATTAATACTAGACACCTTAAAGATAATGTGTACCAAAAATGTTTGTCATATCTTTATGTTAACATACTTTACTAGTCTTTTGTTTTGGCGCTTTGATGCAGTTATCATCTTCTCAAGGTGCAAACAGGAAATAAACTGCTCTGGTCATGTGACAATTTGCACTAATCACGTGAAACTGCACATATTTCATTGAGACCCTTTATTTGTTCACTATTTGCAGGAAGTGCACTAAAACATCAGTCAGTAAGGTTGTTAGAGCTTTATAAATGAAAACCTTTTTTTACGGTCACTATTGTGACCGGTGGGATTAAACGGGTTAAGTAGCATGCATGGATGCATGCATAACTAACTAAATAAACAAACATAGGCTACCCCTTTCGATTGTGGTGTAAATCTTAGAGCTTTAAGTTAAATAGAAGTAATTTTATTTTAAGTTAAATATATTTTCACAACTTATCGTACACTGTCTCATTAGTAAATGTTAGGCTACCTGCTTCTTTCAGAAGATGTAAGCCTCGCTTTGCCTCTTCAATGGGCAAGACGAAAGAGGTCTTTGCAGTGTGGAAGCAAAATCCGCATTTGTAATTGCACTGCCGGGTAAAGTGGTAGTTTACACTGCTTGGAGTAGTCAACTGAGTGCTGGAGCCCTCTTTCTGCTCTTTGGTGCGAGTCTTCAGGCGACTGATCTCTCCGACAGGTGTTTGTTGCACCTGTGTGCCAGATACCAGTTTAAAAATCCATCCCAACAGGGCTGCTAAGCAGCTGTGGACGTTCTTGAAACAAAATTGCATTAGCATTGCTGCAAAACCAACTTGGTTTGATGTCAACATGGTGAAGATGTCTATAGGCTCTGAAAGCTCATACCTCCCTATTTTATACGGGGCCGTCTCAAGTTGCTTTTCTGATTAGTTTCTTTTCTTGCTTGGGAGGACTGGAAAATGAAAGATAAGTAGAATACTATCAGCTGAGTCAAACATAGGCTAGGCGTGGTGTTTTTTTCTCTTTATAGTCACCTGGATGTAACTGGATCGTTATGTTTTTTTCTTTAAAACACGGGGCAAATTAATTAAGATACAGCTAGGTTTCATCTCATTGTCATTCTTGGAATACTAATAATGATAGGCCTATTAATAATTGATATTTAGGTCTTGTCCAAACATTTCAGCATTGACAACAACAAAAGCAATATAAGCAATTAGGCTACTGCTGCTTTAGCCAAATAGATATTCATTAAATCGTTTGTCAACATAAATTTGTCGTCAATTTTGACAACAATTGACAAGTCCTACAGCACAGTTATTCATTTTAATAAGCATTAACCAGCAAATATAAATGGAATGGAAAACCTGCTTGAAACCAACCAATCTTGCTGGTCTGGTTCAACTAGCATATGTTTACAGAAAATGGCAATTTACTCCGAATCGTTGTAGATTAATTGCTTAGGTTATGTAATCTGATTGTTGAAACGAAACTGCAATAAAGTAGGCTACTTGAATGATTAACACGCAGTTTATTTCTCCGTGCACTGGCTTGACAGACTCAGCTTGTTTAGTGAATGACTTTCGTTTTCGGATCTAAGTTGCGTTTCTCTGTAAGCGCTGTTCTCCAGATCAGCAAGAATGACATTTCTCTAGACATATATTATACGCTAGTGTAATATCTCTCACGGTTCACAATGCTACAGAGAGCAATGTTTCGCTGTGGACAGCTGAGTTCGCGTGTATTCGCGGTGGAGTTTGATTTACGCACTCAACCTCTTTATTTCACGCTGAGCTCAAACCCACAAGAGCTTCATCATGCTCATCAGCAGCTCTTTGGAGATGATGGGAAGCTCTTCTCGCTACATGTCCACAGCGACAGCAGAATTGAGAAAGCGCAAGCGCACGCCGAGATAAAACACAAGCTGTGCGTAACACTGTCGCAAGATTGCGATGTTTTTGAAGCGTCTTCTTTTATACCGGACGTCAAAAATAGCGTCGTTAAAGGATTTTTCATACGAGACAAATCCACTACAACCCTCTCAGAGGACACATTAAAGACGCTGCAGCAGAGTAAATCAGTGTGTGTGTTTTCATACAAGCGCGAGGGTGAGTACTGCTGGCAGGAGCTGTGGTCACCTGTCGATCAAGTGCAGGAGTCAGTGAGGCAGTACATCACACCTGCAGCAGCAGCAGAGCATCACCCTTCCACACTGAACATCAGGAACTCTGATGTCTTCTACTGTATGGATGAAGCCTATAAAGTTCTTCAGGAGGTACAGTAGGTTATAGTAGTAGTTATACAGTACATTTATTTTACTTACTTTTTATTTTCATATAGGCTATATATATACATACAGTATATATTAGTGCTGTCAAACGATTAATCACGATTAATCGCATCCAAAATAAAAGTTTTTGTTTACACAATATATATGTGTATACTGTGCATATGTATTATGTATATAAATACAAACACATGCATGTATATATTTATGAAAAATTCGGTATGTTTATATATTAAATATATTTATATATAAAATATAAGAATATAAATATATAAATGTATATACATGTAAATATATATACTGTCTGTGTGTGTATTTATATATACATAATAAATATACACAGTTCACAAAACTTTGTGCATTTTTACTTTCTCAAAAAAAACTAATTCTGTTTGATTTATAAGCTTGGTTCCTCATGGGGACCTCAAAAATGTCCCTACAAGGTCAAAATTTACTAGTATTACTCTCCTTGTGGGGACATTTGGTCCCCATAATGTGATAAATACTAGGTACACACACACACACACACACACACACACTATATGCACATGCATGAAGACATGCATGTCTTTTCTGTCCATTATAATTAATTTAATGCACCACTGCTGAATTCCATATTTATAATATTAGGAAATGTTTCTTGAGCACCATATAAGTATATTAGAATGATTTCTGAGGAATCGTGTGAACTGAAGACTGGAGTAATGGCTGCTGAAAATACAGCTTTGTCATTACATGAATAAATGATACCTTAAAATATAATAATAGAAAATAGTTCATTTAAATTGTAACAATATTTCATAACAATTCTTTTTAATGTATTTTAACCAATTAAATGCAATTAAATCAGAGACTTCTTTCGAAAACATTTATAAAATTTGCCAACTCCAAACTTCACTGTGGGAACTAAGCACTTCTCACCGTACTTTTTCCCTTAGCAATGCAATATCATTTTGAATGCCGTTACATCCAAAATGATTGACTTGGTCTCGTGAGACCAGAGTTCCCAGAAGTATAACTGTCACTCTTTTCATAGCTTTTACCATCTCTGCATCACTTGTTTTGTATTTGTCTGCTCTTTTCCTAGCTAAAAAACTGCTCATCATGAAATGAAAGCTAAAAAGTGAAGGCTTGGTTATTTCAGGAACTTTGTCAAAAGTCCATTGTTTTTTAATTTCTTTTTTAAATTTTTAAATTTTATATTCTTCTTGTACCACGGTCCTCTTTTGTGCAAAAAAAACAAAACAAAAGTATTTGGCTTTATTTTGTAACTTTCAGGACAGTGTACTAATTTTTGCAACACAACATTTTATCACTTTGATATGATATCTCCAAATATCTCCAAATGTCTTAAGAGTAATTGCTGGTCGGTGCCGATAGCTTTGTGGGCAGTGTGACAACATACAGCCCCATTGTGCTTCAGGCATCCCGAGTTCGAATCCTGACTCGAGGACTTTTCCCAATCCTGCCCCCCTCTCTCTCTCCCACGCCAGTTCTGATCTGTCCTATTATAATAAAGGTGAAAAGGCAAAAAATAAATCTTATAAAAAGAGTCATTGCTGAATTTGTTAAGTTTCTGAGGGGTTGTACACATACATCTAATCACCAGTTTTAAAAGTATACCTGTGTAGACTGTTTTACTTTGATGCTAAAATGAAAGTGTATAGGCTACCTAATCTAAGGTAACAATGAACATTGGGTTATTAATTAATCAATGTAATTCAGAACCTAACCACAATGCAGTTCGATGTAAAACAATACATCTTTCTGCCCATCTCAGTGCACTGACATTATCCCTGAGTCAAAGGAAGTGCTGAAGCTTGTAGACGAACAGTTGGAGACAAGCAGGGCTGATGGATTTCCTGTCATTGTGATCGAGGGACTGGACGCCACAGGTTAACAATGAGCCTTTAATAAATACTTTATTCAGCTAATTAATAAGTATGCATTCAAACACAATATATATATATATATTTTTTTACCAAGCAGAACGTAATGTCACATACACATTCATAGCTTCCAATATGATAAAAACATAAACAAACAAAAAGTTTGCACTCTAAAATTCTGTTGCTTTCTCTCCATGTGTTTCTCCATGTACCCAGGTAAAACTACTCTCACAGAAGCCCTGCGGGAGTCTCTGAATGCTACTCTGCTGAAATCTCCTCCCCAGTGCCTTGCTCCTTTCAGACAGCGCTTTGACTCAGAACCACCCCTCATCCGCAGGGCCTTTTATGCTCTGGGGAACTACATCACTGCTGCCCACATCGGAAAAGAGTCCTTGAGGGCTCCTGTCATAGTGGACAGGTAGAGATGTGTGCGCCACAAATACACTCACATGCTGTTTTGGGCAGGAATGTAGCAAATAAATGTTCTAAAGCTGAATTTGTGGAAAGTGAGGCTCGGTCAAATGTAAATTGTTATTTGAGAATACTGTAAGTATATAAAACGATCAGATTTCATTTATTTTTGTAATCAGAGCAGTATTTATATGGCACAAAAACAATAAGGATATCCATTTTGGGTGGAATATATCTTTAACAGACTAGAATTGATCAGATTGGTTTACACTACACAAACGTCACTGTTAGTAGAAAACGTTAGTAGTAGCATTTCTACTTACAGTTAGTTCGTTCCCCAGCACGATTATAGACAACCCCTTCTCCCCCTTTTTTTGTCTCTGTTAGGTACTGGCACAGCACAGCAGCGTATGCCATTGCCACAGCAGTTGGTGGAAGAGTTGAAAACCTCCCAAAGCCAGGCTCAGAGTTGTATCGGTGGCCAGAAGACCTGCTCCAACCAAACCTGGTGCTGCTCCTCACTGTCAGTCCAGAAGAAAGACTGAGAAGACTCAGGGACAGGGGACAGGACAAGACCGTTGAGGAGGCTGAATTGGAGATCAATCAGCTCTTCCGACTTAAGTAAAATTATATTAATAAATTAATGATGAAATTTCTCTTTTAAAAAAAATCTGTCAACCCTATTCACAATGTTTTGGGGTTGAATATAAAGGGGGGATAAAGACTTTTTTTTATCATGTGGTCAAATAATTTATGATGTCACCCCTTCAAATATGATATCAGAATGAATATAATTAATATATTAAATAATTAATATAATTTTGCAGGAATACAGGTTTGAACAGAAAGTGTAGGAACAATGACAAATTTGCATTTTAATTTCAATAATAGCAATATTTTTGGTAGAATTTGTTTTAAAAATTGTATAGACTGCCATTCAAAAGTTTGGGGTTGGCAAGTTTTTTTTTATACATAACTTTTATTTTAGCAAGGATGCATGAAATACTTTCACACTGATATTTCAAATAAATGCTTTAAAAAAACTTTTGATTAATTAATAAATAAATAAAATAAGCAGCTGTTTTCGAAATGTATAATAATAAGAAATGTTTCTTGAGCACCAAATCAGTGTATTAGAATGATTTCTGAAGGATCATGTGGCACTGAAGACTGGAAGCTTTGTCATCACAGGAATAAATGACATTTTAAAATATAGTAAAATGTAAAACAGTTATTTTAAATTAAAATAATATTTCACAATGTTA